ACGCTAAATTATAACTTATAAATAAGTGCTTAGCTCTGTGACAGATCAGGCACATCCCTGTTTTAATACAAACAAATCACAAAATGCATATGTCTACTGATAAAGTACAAAAGAATATTATTTCAAGGGTTGAAGTCTAAGCTCTAGAAATGGTGCAAATGGTATGGTCTACGAATGTAAATCCTCTGTGATCCCACAATGTCGAGCTTCGCAAGAGTTAGGCATTTCAAAATAGCCAACACACTCTAGACAGAACACGCTACTTCTTAGTTTGCAGTTGCGGATTCAGAAGCATCGGCGACCTACAAAAAATTGCCGTACAGCTGGATCAAAACATCTTGGACCGGTCGTCTTAAACGCAAAACAGAACGTATAAAAGACCTTCTGCACATCCCCTTTAAGACAAACGTAACAGAAGCGTTTCAGGTCCCGGGTCTTCCATGTCGTGGTAAATGACAGCACAGAGAAAAAACAAAAGGGTTCAGATGCACTTTGAGCTCGTCGAGCTTGCCTGGCCTTTTCCATAGACTGATGATGACCAATCCCGTCTTCGTCGTGCAATTTTGCCTATGTTTGCTTTCTTATGCTGAGCTTTAAGTATTATGATGGCCGTCAAACGCCGTGACGTCAGATCTAGTTCAGTTCTCCATTAAGTCAACATAGGTTTACCTCCCGCGGTCTACTTTTACGTACCTTTATCAATTTTATAAATTCTCCAGAGCAAAGAGGCAGGCGGCTTCGATCAAAGTGGACAGCTTGAGGCTGACGAAGTTGAAAACTTTCGTAGAAACGCTCTTAGGATCTCAAGTTGAAATAAAGGATTCACTCACTGGGTAACTGACTAAATTTAGTCCAAAAAGGAGACCTTCGTCGGAAAAATCTGATGATGATGGAATTTCAGTGCTCGTCGACGGCTCTTGTTCTGCTGTCTCGGGGCAGAGCGTTTTGTAAACCTTTTTCTTTGCCTCAACATACTCATTGACGGTGAGGTCCAGCGCGGCCAAATTATGCTTCACTTTCTCGGGCATTTCATGCAGGTGGTTGGGAGCCAGGTTTGTGACTGTGGGGGTGGGCTTCTCGCGATTTTTCGCCAAACGGCGCCGGTCAGCACTGGTCAGAAATGAACGAAATATAGGCAGCACCGTGTCGGAACGGGTGTATAAAGGGGCTCCAGGATAAAGTTCCTCGGACTGCGCACAGAATTTAAAGGCACTCAAGGCACACAACTTCCTGAATATGTAGTAGGCATCCCATTGACGATCTCGCAGCAAACCTGAGGCCAAATGGACGACAGCTGACCAACCTTCGGGCGTTACTGAGATGCGTGCCTTTTTCAGGGAGAAAGAAAATCATGAGCGCTGGCGCAGAAAATATGTTATCTAAATGGCTCTATTTAAGTGCACAGCGTATGTGACTTCGTCTCAAAGCATACGAATTTCGCGGACAGCAACTACATAAACTCAGGAAAAACCGCTTGTGTTTTCCGAAAGCAGAAAAGAGGTTGAACATGGGAAGAAATTTAGTAGACTTATTGGCCTGCAGTTAGCAATAATCTGGCACAGCTATAATAATGAGATCAGCGATAAATCTTAAGATAGTCGACGAGTTTGTGGAACGGTCAAACTAAGGATTAAGTAAAATAATACGTTTTTCAGTATAAAAAAAGCAAATAGTATCACCAACTAAAAACTGAAACCAAGATAAGAGTTTATTTATCTGTGGTTTTTGATTGATGTTACTTAGTGATTTTTTTGTTTCAAAGTGTGCTGTCTCTTGGTCCAGCTCACTATAAATTTATCTTCTTTCCCCCCTAACGTGTGTTGAAGCAACATGCCACCATAAAGTGCCGATAAAACCAATGACTATACAGGCGTCGCAATGACTTTCCTCATCTACTTAGCGCTAATTATGTCCGAATACGGTTAAGATGGTGCCCAAAACTTTAAACTATTTTGATAGCATTAGAAATGGCGAAAAAGAACAGTATGAGCTGTATGCATGTACAAGAACGAGAAAAATAAAGCAGACATATACAGACGCAGATTTAAATACTTGTTGTATTTGAAACCAAGTGGGAGATCAGAGCAGACATAAAGCATACGACTCAGATGTGATATATGAATCTAGACAAGCCAAAATCCACTGCAAATACATGTGCGGTATTCAATAAACTTCTTGATTGGTTATTAGCCCCCCTTGTTGGATCAAGAGTCTTCGCCGGAGTCCAAACAGGGTGCAGTTGGGAGACGGAGAAAAGCCGCGACTTCAGCTGGCTTGAGCCAAATGTCCACGGGGGTGAGTTGGCTGCCTGGGGGGAAGCTTGAACACGATAGCGTAG